TCTCTTTGATGGAAGTTGATGAGGAAGGTAACCAGATGAATCCCAAGCATGTTGCCATTGATGGGGAGGCAAAAGAGGAGGAAGTGTCCTTTAATGCAATTCTGGGAACGCCAACGTTTGCCACAATGAAATTAAGTGGAAAGTTACATGGACATAAAGTTCTCTTGTTAATTGATAGCGGTTCAACACACAACTTCATCTTTGAAAAACTTGTGGAGCAACTTAAGCTACATGTTTCCTCTGTTACACAAGATTTTTACCCATTCCCACTTGCTCATTCTGATATGGTTCTTGGAATCAAATGGTTGGCCTCTCTGAATACCATTCAAGCAAACTGGAATGAAATGTTTCTGATTTTTTGGGTTGACGGGAAGCGATATAAATTAAGAGGCATCTCGAAAGTTCATCAAAGCAGTAGATTAAATTCAATGGTGTGTCGTGAGCTGCAGTTAGGAGTAGAGGAAGAAACTCCTTTGAATCTGAATGACTTAATGCAACACCAACATCCAGACTTCCACCTTGAGGACAAGGTGTCTTTCAGAGAGGGGAGTAATGATAAGATCCGGATCAGTGATAGCAGAAGGCCGCCTTAATTATATTATTAGGTGTGGGTTAATTAAGTTTGTTACAATTTTATACTCCCTCCGTCCGCCTAAGATGTTCTCATTTTGACTTTTGGTGGTTTTTAAGGAGAGTTGAAAAAAGGTGAAAGTTTACCATAATACCCTTAATGAAAAATGGGTGGAGTGTATTAAATGAGGTGGGTGAGGTGTAATAAATAAAGTAAGTGGGGGTAGTTGTGGTATTTTACTTGTTAAAAAAATGAAATGAGAAGATCTATTGTGGACAAAGAAAAAGGGCTATTGCGAAGATCTATGGTGGACACAGGGAGTATTTATTAAATAAAAGGACTCTAGTCATTAGGATTCCTGAAGCCCTAGGATAGCTTAGGTAGTTAGAACTTATCACTTTATTCTCTTGATCTTATCTGATCAGTTTGATCTTATCCATTTGTTAGAAATGTTATAAATATCCCAGCCTCTCTATTGCTGAAGAAACCATCAATCACATTGAGATCCTCTTGGCTTCTATCACTTTTTCATTGGTGAGATTCTTACTGTGAGGAGGGAGGGAGAGTTCTATTTAGAATTAATTCAAAGAGGTTTCTATCAGAGGACCAAAACTTCAATTATTATCGAAGAATTTGAGAAACTGAAGTTAAGGAAGCCCTTAAACGAATGAAGAATAGCAGAGCAGTGGGCCCAAACAACATTCCGATTGAAGTTTGGAAAGGTTTAGGAGGAAAAGGCATTTGGTGGCTAACTAAGCTTTTTAACGAGGTTTCAAGATCTAAGAAGACGCCTAACGAATGGAGGAAGAACATTTTGGTTCCTATTTACAAAAATCAGGGAAATATTCAGAGTTGTGGAAACTATATAGAGATCAAGCTTATGAGTCATACGATGAGGTTATGGGAAAGAGTGGTTAAACGGAGGTGGACACTTTGGTGTTAGAGAACCAAATTGGTTTTATGCCACGAAGATCAACTACAGAGGCTATATACTTAGGGTGAGAAGAATGATGGAGAGGTATCGAAGTGAAAAGAAAGAAAGATCTACACATGGCTTTTATTGATTTGGAAAAGGCATATGACAGGGTACCAAGAGAGGTATTGTGGAAGGTGCTAGAGAAAAAAGGAGTAAGGATTGCTTATATTCGTGCAATTAAGGACATGTACAATGGTGCTGCAATGAGCGTGAGAAGTAAGACTGGGATAACAGAGGAATTCCCCATTGGTGTAAGATTACACCAAGGGTCATTAGTAAGCCCATATCTTTTTACACCAGTACTGGACATTCTTACCGAGCATATCCAAGAATTTCTACCATGGTGCATGCTTTTTGCCGACGACATCATCCTTATGAGCGAATCACGAGAAGATTTGAATGAGAAGTTGGATTCGTGGAGACAGGCTTTAGAGTGGCATGGCTTGAGTATAAGTCGCACTAAAACAGAGAATATGGAGTGCAAGTTTGGCAACAAAAGGAGAAACATAACATCGAGGTGAAAGTTGGAGAAAATACCATACCACAAGTAAAGAGATTTAAATATCTTGGGTGTACCATTCAAGACAATGGAGAAATAGAGGATGATGTTAATCACAAAATTCAAGCCAGTTGGTCAAAATGGCGGAGTGCTTCACACTTTATATGTGACATAAAAGTATCTTTAAAACTAAAAGAAAAATTTTACCGTACTGCTATTAGACCAGCTATATTGTATGGGACAGAGTGTTGGGCAGCAAAGGGTGAACATGAACACAAGGTTAGTGTGGCGGAAATGGAGATGTTTCGTTGGATGAGCGGCATACGCGTATGGATAGAATAAGGAACGAAGATATGAGAGCAAAAGTTGGAGTGGCACCTATTGTAGAAAAAATGGTGGAAACTCGTCTTAGGTAATATGGACATGTGGAGAGAAGACCAATAGAGCATCCTGTGAGAATGGTTGATCAAATGGTGAATAGGCATGTCGCTGGAGGAAGAGGTTGTGTGACCAATCTCACAGCTGATATGATACATGATAGGGTTCAATAGCGTCGTTTGGTCCATGTAGCCTACCCCACCTAGTGGGATAAGGCTTTGTTGTTATTGTTGTTGTTTACCTACATCATGAGATTCGGAGCCATATGATGAAGAGGGATGCTGAGTGTTGGGGAGGGAGGTATAATCCAAAAATTTAGCAAATCTTGCCGGATCCTCTAAGTTGCTTGGCTCAAAAATTTCTCCCCGTCCTTATCTAATTTGTTCAATGACTTGTGAGATGTCAGGTTCCTTCTAATGGCTATCCCCATCATCTGTGGGCTGGGCCACAAAATTTTCCTCTCGCCTTAACTGGTCTTCATTTGTTTCCTCACAAGTCCTGATCTCACTTTTGCCCTTAGCAAAAGTGTTCGGCTCTATTGTCTAGACCAATTGTTCCTCATGTGAAGAAAAAGTAGCTCTCTTATCGCGAGCCCCATGTGAAGAAAAAGTAGTTGTCTTGTCACCAGCCTTATGTGACACTATCTCTGGGTCCGTGGGGAGCTTCACATGGTCTAATAGCCTTAGTCAAAAATATATCAATAAAGTCTAGTGGCTTACTCAAGGATTTCCCCTTTCCAAATTCAAAGTACCCTATTTTTAAGCATCCTTCCTGTAGTTTTCCATTCTCGTAGACCACGCTTTTGACCGGTTTGGGGCCGGTTCCTTGGGCATATCCGGCTTGCTAGATTCCCCAGTTGATGGGCCCGATTTATGGTTAGAGGTGCTTGGTGCAACCGCCTTTCCACAGGATGAGATGCCCGCAGTGCCTACAGTGAGTGCAGTAGGCTGAGATAGGCTGAGACAGATTCATACTCAACATGAGTGGATGTGAACCATGGGGATCAGTTCTTTTGATAGATCCATTTCCACACAGAAACGGGCGGGCTGATGGGCGAGATAGAGTAAGCGTGGAGGTATCAAGCTTGAGTGGTTTGCCAAGCATCTTGGCAATGGAACGGAGGGAACTTTTCTGATGAAGATGGATGGGAAGTCGTGGGATGGAGACCCAAACAGGGGCGAGTGGAGATTCCTCCCCGGGTACAAACTCCGGCGTCCATTTAGAGAGCTGGATGGAGCAGCCATTGGTTTTTCATTCTTGTCTGAAAAAAAGACGATTATAATCTTCTTCATTAGCAAGGTTGATTAAGATGTGATCCCGATCAATGACCTGCGGAGAAGCCTCCCATCAAGGCAGCCCTTTCTAGAGAGTTCTTGACCGCACTTAGAGAAGTATGTCCCCTGCGAAAAGATCCAACTAAGGCAAAGGAGAACGTCTTAGAAAGAATGTTGATGTCTTCCGACGTAAAGGAAACACGTGGCAGCCCCTTATACCGGAAGACGTCCTTCTCCGGTGTGGCGCATTCATTGTCACCATTGACCACTAAGAAAAGGATCGTGAGGCCCCCTCTGATGGAGGCCAACCTACAATGACAGCAGCAAAGGACCATGCAGCCCCATCGGGTGGTGGATGCCGGTGGTAGGAGGGCGTTTAGAGGAAGTTTTACTGTAGCTATCTTTAGTTAGAGAGAGAGAGCCATTGGTGATTATACACACTCTCTCTCTCTCATTTGAATGCCTAACTCGTATTCATTTAGGGTGCTAAGTCATCATGCAAATTATACGGTGCGATTGAACATTATACGATCGTTATGCATATCTTACACTCATATCATTGGTAGCTGCCAGCTGCTTAGACATTACTCATCTAGTCCAGTGCGTTCCATTTGACAGATCTCACTATTGTTCAAGGCATTTTTTTGAAATGATAATACACTATAAAAATGCATAAATTTTTCAAGATTTTTCCTTGTATTAACAGAAAAATAGAAAAGCCTTTACGACAAAAAAAGATATTCTTTTCATGAAAAACAGGCCACAAGTGTAGCCTTGTTTTGTATATACTTTAATATTTGAAACCTAACTTGTTCACTAGTTCAAAATTGTATCATTTCTGGAAACACAATGGTCACAGCAAAATCTCCCCTAATCCCAAGGCAATATGCCAATACCCACATTATATTTTCACCTCAAGTCGCAGACAGAAAATACCACTGGATAGAACTCCTTCACTGAAGGGAGAAAACCATTTCATTGACAATTACAAAGTCTTGCACATAAAGTTTAATGTGCCATTTTGATTTAGACCATTATTAAGGTGTCAAACTGATCTCGTCCATTATGTTCTCCAAACTACAACATTGTCAAGAATAGCTCTTTTAGATTCATTTGCAATATTAAATCATGAGGATATATCAAAAAATGATAGACCATGAATGATGCAAGTGCATTTTGTCAGCATTTTGTCATGTATGCAGATTCATACAGATAAATAGTACACTACTACAGTATCAGATACGCCCTGAATGTGCTGCACGATGATATTGAGCATAAACCATTGGAAAAATAGCAACAAACCTGATCAATTGCGCAAGGAATCAGACAACGGAGCCTATCATTTCCTGAGAAGAGATGTGGAAATGAACTTGGAAATGATGGGACAGCCTGGAATTGTGCAAAATTAGTTCTCTTTCAACACATTTAATGTGGCATTAACTAGTATCCTAAAATCAAGGTGAGGAAGAAATTGTGGTTGCAGATTCTATGGAAACCATGCATCGGATATCTAGTCCATTTAAATCCAAATGAACTATCAATGCACACAACGTAAGGTATCAAAAAAATATAAATGGATTAAACAATTGATCAGTTTTAGAAAAATTGAGATTTGAAGACTGACTGCAGACTTCAACTGCTAGAAAAAGAGAGATGTAAGTGGATTAAACAAATGAGAGGTTCAATAATTGAATGTTAAAAAATCATAGCAGTGGATACACTTCTGCCTTCTCCTGTGCAATTCAGGAGGGCAAAAGCATAGTGCAGAAAAAACTTCATTATAATTCCCATTCGTAAATGAAGACTATGATCAATAATAAATCTCATGAACAAATAAATAAATAAATAAATAAATAAATAGATTTAGATAAATAGAAAACCTCCACCATGCATGGTAAATAGTGGTTTTATATAATCTGTAAACTATTTCAAAGACCATCTTTTAGATGACCAAATTGGAAAGCACGATTTACAGACGGCATTGAACATTTGCTTGGCCAGATGTATTCAATAGATTCCTATTTGGCCTAGGAAAAATTATTTTATTTCCCTCCCTCCGCTACCTCTCTGTGTGGCTTTAGAAGGGGGGATCAAGGTGGGGACGGAATGCCAAGATAATGAAACTATCAATGAAATACTTTCTAAAAAATCATGCAAGTGTTTGTTATGATTTCTACCTGAATTGGTGGAAAACTGACTTTTCCAATATGGTCTTCACCAGTGAAACCAAAAATGCCAACAGCCTGCAGCAGAATTTAATGTCATATGAAGTTAACAATCCCCATCAAATATGTAGTAAGCTGGGAGTAGTGATAAGCTAATGTATATGATACAGTTGGAAACCTTTACAATGTATCCAACCTTTTTGTAAAATTTATGTATTCACCTTATTGTATGTGACACACTTTGCAACCCTCACCATGTTCTTGTAAAAATCACTGCATTGAGAATTCTTGTCAATGGAAATTTTGACATTACAAAATATGAAAGGCATCTTACTATTTCCCATTCACAACCACGCACATTGCCTTAACATTATAGGCATTACATGAAATGCACAAAACCATTTTAACTTTATAAAGCGTGCATATTGAATATCAATTAAGTCAAAGGAAAACAGAATATGCACAGGTACTGCCTAAATCCTGAAAATCAAGGTGGTTAAAACTACTTGCCCTCCTACATAGTCGAAATCAGAGAAGATAAACGTCCTTGAAATGTCAAAACCACAGGCAATGATGTCCTTTGCATTCTCCCGGGCTAGCCTTTGGCTTTCCTCTACTGACAGATTCTTCCACATGCATTTCTCGTCATCTGTCAACTGAATTACAAGAGGCACCTTAAACGCATCCTGCAAATACCTATACAGCAAAAAAATTAGCAAATTAAAAAAATGAAATCCATTCTCATGTTTAAGTATCAAAGTAGAAAGAAAAAAAGTACTCATAAATTTTTTTTTAAAAAAAAGCCCTACTTGGTGAACAAGAATGGAATAAGATGACCCAAATGCAAGGACTCTGAAGAAGGTCCGCGGCCAGTATACAAGTAGAACTTGTCTCCTCTTTCATAAGAGTCTAGAATCTCACCAAAGTCACGATGGGCAAAGAAGACGCCGCGGCGGAGGAAGACGTGCGGCGAACGTCCGGTAAGCCTCTCGACGCGATCAATGAGGGACTGGTCCAGCCGTTGGCAGCCGAATTTGTCAATCAACTTATCGTAGTCGATTTTACCGCCGTCCTTGACTGACACTACCCATGGATTCACAACCTGTTCTTCTTCTTGCTCTTTATTTGAACAGTCATCCTTATTCTTCTCCATTGTTATGTCGAGAATGGTGGCTCCTCACCCTCGCGCACAGAATGCGCCGATATTTGAGACGCCTGCCAGCCGCCGGCTTTGTAATCTGCTCAGCTCCACTGTTCCCAAGGTCGGGTTCTAGTTGGGTATAATGGGGAGGGTCACTTCTGATACTTCGGATTATGGTTATTGACCCAATAGCCAATAGGTTAAGAGACGTATTTAAAAATTAAAATTTTTACTATTTAGAGATCATGTAATCTAAGCATTATCCAAAACAAAAAATGAAATCATAAAAGTTTGTAATTCTATTCGCAACATACTAAAAGAGAATTGTAATATAGCAAAAAAATCACCTTTTTGCAGCATACCAAAAAAATTACATTAGATGAAAAAAATTGAAAATTCTTTCAACATTCCCAGAAATATATATTCATTATAAAAGAATTGAGATTTTTGTGTCATACCAAAACAAAAGGAAAGAATTAAAACTTGAGTTACACGTAGTAGCAATTGGAAACGATGAAATAGGATTAAAAAATCCATTATTGATCTTGTGTCTTCTCACCATTTTGATTGGGTCGACATCTAATATTGACGAACGGTGGAAGAACAATATATATATACACACACACACACACATATATGTTTATGTATGTATATATATATATATATATATATATAATATATATATATATATATATATAAGTATATATATATATATATATATATATATATATATATTATATATATATATATAAAGAGAGAGAGAAGGGAGAGAGACTCGAATGTTACTGGATTTGAATTATGTTTTACGCCTTTTAAGTTTTGAGTAGCCTAATGGATATATCATATTTTAAATAAATATATAAAACTAAATAACTAATAAAAATAAGCAATTAAGTGCATAACCCGTCGGGTCAAACCCGACCCGACCCGTGCTGGCCCGAAAATTTAACGGGTTTTTGGGTTCGGGTCATTTCGGGTTCAGGTCGCAAAATCAATGTTCAAAATCCGCTAATTTCATGTCGAGTTTCGGATGAATAACGGGTTGCATCAAAATTTGTCAGGTCTAATTTTGGCTATACTAGTAATTTATGGCTATACTAGTAATTTAACATGTTGTTCGAACAAAATTTTTATTGATTTTTTGAATTATCTTCAGTGTAATATTTTTCAAACGAGTATGGAAATATATGTAATGCGTTTTTTAACTCTGTAGACATTAAAATCAAAGTAAAAATAAATAATTTGGCATTTAATAATTAGTTATAAAAATTCTTATATATAAATTCAAAAGTAAACATCTCAAAGTTTTTTTAAAATTCATATTTTGTTTGAAAGCCTTTGGGGAATATAACATTTTGGTGTGGTTGCAAGGATTTTCATTATTATTTAAAACTAATATTTTTAACCATATCTTAGTTTCACTCGTAAAACAATGACATAAAGTTAACTAAAAGTGAACTTCAACCCAATTAAAAATAAGTCAACAAATGATAATATTTGACATTGACTTTTATCAATAGTCATGACAAAACATAAAGCATTCATCGTCGTATATCTTAATCTGATTTTCATTCATTGTAGATATATATTATTCCCTTTGTCCTAAAACTATCTTCCCACTTTTTCATTTTTAATGTCTTAAAATTACCTTCCCACATCCCAAAAAGGGTGTAAAATGACAATCCTACCCTTACAACATCTACTCCCCAACCTTCCTACTCTATCAACATTCCTTCTCCCTCTTATCTTCGTCTCTCTTTCAATTCCCCTCCTCAAAACCTAGATGTAATCTTGGGGTCAAAGTTGCAACCATCGTCGTTCTTGAGATCATCTCATCATCATTACCTCCCCTTCCACACTCAGAATCTCGGCATCTCAACATCTCCACTCGGCATCTATGGATTGGGGTTGCAGGAAGAGCGCCGGTTGGAGTAGTAAGTTCACTGACATGTGATTCGAAGTCTAAATAGCTTCACGGAATTGTAGATGGTGATGACCTTAATTAGCCGCTACCTTCTAGCCATCTAGAGTTTTTTTCAATTATTTTTTAATCATAATTGATTCCTTTTCGATTGGTTATTCAATCTGTTACTCATCAATTGTTTTCTTATTTGGCCACATTTACATGCCGCTTCATTAGCAGATGTGCTTTTCAATCGGGCCAGATATGTTAATTGTGTGTACGTCAGTCATTTATCGCTGGCGAGCAAGCCGCCCCCCCACCGTATACACTGCACAATTACAGGAAAAGATAAAAATTAAAACTTTTATGTTTTCAGGTTTAGATGGAGGGGCATGTTTGGAAGTCAAAGCCATATTAATCAATCCCTTAAAAAGGGTTTTAGTTAATCTGGGAAGTTGGATTTAGGACGTTGGGAGTATTTAAGATCATATGATAACTTTTATTTGTCATAGTTAAACTCCTCTACTAGAGATGACAATTCTACCCGAATCTGACTTTTACCGACCCGACCGGAGCTTGTAATATCCGAAACCGACCCGAAAAAATTTAAACCGAACCCGACTTTTGTCGGGTCGGGTTTGGGTTAGTATATTTGACCGACTCACCGACCCGATCTGTACCCGACCCGACTCGACATGTACCCGACTTTTAATAAGTTATTAAAACCCTAAATTCCTATATTTTATGTATTTTTGATGTACATGTTTTTAATGTTTTAAAACTTATTGCATTTTTTGTGTTTCATTTTTATTGTGGTTTAATCTTGTGTGTCATACATATGATATTTTATTTATAATTTGTCTATTATTATTTGAAACTTACTATTTATTTTTTAAGGGTCATAATTATTTTTGTTAATATCTTAAATTTATAGTCGTCTTTAAAATTTTAAATTTATAATGAATTTCAATCTTAAAATTTTCATGAATACTTTTATTAGTACTCAAACCCGAATTTGACCGTAACCGACCCGACCGAATCTTGAACTAAATCCGAAACCGAAAAAATAACTATTCGAAACCAACCCGCCAAAATCAAACCCGAACCCGAGCTAAGCCAGGTCGGGTTTGAATATACTAAAACCCAACCAAACCCGACCCGTTGCCATCCATATCCTCTACCAAGATATTATTTTAAAATCTATTCGTGGATTGTCTTCTCGGAATGATATATCATTAAACGCTTATAAGAATCATCTATTTGAATTAAGTAACTTTTCAATCTCAATCAAATATAAAGTTTTTAGATCTTCTTGAAAATAATAAGTTCTACAAAAATGGTTAAAATGGGACTAAATCATTAGATTTTAACCCATATCTCAAGTCTAAATTTTTAATATTAATCATACAGAGTACATTTCATATTGATCTCTATATAAATAAAAAAATTACTTTTTTATAGAAAGATCTTGTTTTTGCAATTTCATCAATCAAATAAAGTCTCATATTAACCAAGAGCTCTCATAATTTTTCCCAAACAACTTAATAACGACTCGTGGTATTTGTCACTAATAATGTGACTAACAACTTTCTTAGCTGACCCCAAGATCCTAGCTCAGTAGTCTATTTTATATCTTTAATAAATTCTTTATCATTGGTTAATAATCCACTGTTTCACATGCATTGTCGAATGAGTGTTGTTCGTATAACATTATTGGTAACTGTCTTCAAGCTCTGGTAGCTTGTACATTCCTGTTAGAGCGTTAATAGTATTTTCAAGTAGTTCAATTTTTCTATTCCTATTGGCACGCATTGCAGGCATTCTATTAATGGTCTTTGTTGCCTCAAAAATAATGAAGAAATTATAGCCACCAATGTTTTGTTTAATTTAGTTATTTTCAAAATTTTTAAATATGTGTGCATTAATTAGGAAACTATATACAAAAGAAGCATGCGTAAAAAATCTAAAGCAACCGTTTTAGAGTTTAATTACATATGATTCCTAGGAAACCTCCAAAATATATATTTTTAGGTAAAAATGTAAATAGAATGAGAATAGGAATATACAAATAGAACGGGCATATCCGAGCTCAAAAAAGGTGAAATGCCAAAACCATAGAGAAAATTGACTACAACATCAATTCGTCAGACAACCACCACAGCACAAGCCAATACCACGGCATATATGCCAAAAATACACAAATAGACACCAACCAAACATAAACCAAGGTATTGACAAACATCAGCACGCAGACCCAAGTATCTACAAAACACAACAAACATAAAGATCAAGACGGAAAAGAGTACAAAGGCCAAAGTCTTCCCATGATAGAGTAGACCATGACTTTGATTTTACAAATCACAACCTCAACCCGTAGAGGTTCATGTTCAAAATGAGTTGCATTACGTTGCTTCCAAAGGTGGAATACCGTACATGCCAAAGCCAGTTTCCTCATCTTCTTCAAGAGTGCATCATGTAACACCCTAATCCGTATAACTCGGAATTACACGTATTAAGGTGAAACGGGAGTTAAATAAAAAAAATTTCTTGACATTTGAAAATGATAATTTGTTATAAATGTTAAATTTACAGACTCTAGATCGCGACCCGTTTAAAAATATTTTCGGAGTAATGCGGAAGTACAATAATAATCAAATCATGACAGATTTAAAATCTTGATGATCAAACATTTGCCTGCCATCCTTGCATCTCCTCTGGCTCAATGCCCTCCGGGAGTGGTTCCATCATTATCTTCTTGTTACCTACGTATAGTCAATGAAAAATACAAACTACACGCTCAGCGAAACCGCTAAATCAATTTAATGATAATTAAATGATGGCACATTTAATCAATTTGATTGTTCTTGGTGATGATTACATGACACCTATGTAATCAATATGATTGTTCTTGATGATGATAACATGAGGCCACAAGAGTTGAATGGGCATTTCAAATGAAAATAATTAAAGTGTACCACAACATAATGAAAGCAATTAGAGTGTGCACATCTACAATATTTACAAAAGCGGGATGAAAATTGATCCAATTTCAAGAAGGTTAATTTGAGTTCAATTTCACCTATTAAATAAATTACTGCTTGGTAAATATGAAAAAACTTATGAGCGCAACAACATCTGATACATATGTAGAAATAAGGAATTTCCAATTTCCACCAGAAGCTTAACTTTCATGCAATAATTGAAGTGTCACTGGGGCCAATAATAGAATTATTACATCTCAAGATAAAGGGACTATAA